TTTTCGAGTTCGAGTCGAATTCAGCAATATTCGAGTTCGACTCGACTCGTTTAACAAACGACGTCGTCGGTTTAATTTTTTAAAAAAAAGAAAAAAAACATAATTGGCTGTTCATACTGATTTTACCGGTTTTTAGCCGGTTCACACCGATTCTCAGTCGGTTCTACCGATTTTCAACCGGTTCATTGCAAAACTAGTTTTGGAAGTTAATCGGACTGGACATGTCACTGGTTCACAGTTCAACAGGTTGAACCGGTCGATCCGATCCGGTTTTGATAACCATGCATTTACTACTTCCACATGAAGCTGCTTTTGGAGATTTTCAAGCTATTTCCAATAGTAATGGAATCGGGTTCTGTTTGGATCAATGTTAAAAAAAACACACAGATTTTCCAATGGTGAAAAAGCTTAAGTTTTTTTCTTTTAGCTTTACAAGGATTTGCTAGAGGGGAAGATAAAGGGGGAGAGAGGGAAAGAACGCAAAAGCATTTGGGGGAAGAGACCCAAGCCTAAGCTTTGGCAACAAGGATTTGTTAGAGGGGAAGAGAGGGAATAAAATCATTTTTTATTTTAATTAATTTCTTATTTTAAGAATTTATTTTTTAATATTAAAAACATGCCAGGTGGCATGTTTAATGGGTTAACGGTCGAAATTAAAAGTCCATCACGACTTGACCCAAACTGAATTACGGAATAAAACGTTAAGTATTAAATTAGAACGAAAAAAATGTTAAATATTAAACTAAAACCAAAGATATACGTTGAAGACTTTTTTTTATATTTAAGCCCAAATTTAAATGTCATATGTAATCTTCAAATTTGTTTTTATTTTATTTTATACTTTTTAGTTTCTTTGTATTCTCCATCCTCGTAATGACAAAACATCAGTTTATTTTGTTAAAAAAATAAGTTACAGGTCATTAAAGATATGTACTAGATGATAAATAGAGAACCTAATGAATTCATTTAAGTTATTTTTTTATTAACATTTTTTTGTAAATTATTTTATGCATTGATTAGTTTTAATTATTATTAGAATATTTTTTTTTATTAATATGAGGTAAATACAAGATAATATCGGTTAAAAAATAACTCTTAACTAAGGATGGACATGGGACCCGAACCCAATTCGATCGGGTTTTTTTTTAATTATGGTTCGGGTCGGGTTTTTTAAAGGTGATGTTCGGGTGGATCAGATTCGGGTTTAAGTTGAAAAATACCCGACTTGACCCGACTCGGAAAATATAATTTTACCTTATATATTTAGGGATAATTACAATAATACCCCTCTATATATTATTTGTAAATTAAATCATTTTTTATTGAATAAAAATAATATTTTTATTATTATTTCGGATCGAGTCTAATCGGGTTCAGATTTTATCTCAAAAAAATCGGGTTGGGTTTGGCAAACCCGACCCATGTCCATCCCTACTTTTAACTATTTAATATTGAACGTACACATCTCTATCATTCATGATGCTCAAACTCGAGACCTGAAAGAACAATAATATTTCTTTTATCACGGATCTTTTGGTTTATACATTAAAATATAGTTTTTATCCGAAGAATAGATATGTTTTATTAATAAATATTATAGGCCTTCACTATATTGTTACATTTTCTATTTTTTAAATAATTTGTTCAATTAATAAGTAAGTATTTTAAATTTATTAAAAAATTAAATCATAATATTTTGGGTGTTTTTCCCGAAAAATCACCGGTGATTGGTATATTTATCGATTTAACACCGGTCAGATTATATTTTCCGATCTAACACTCGTAGCAGTAAAGTGCGCTCTCTGCCCCGCATTATATGTTGATTTGGCGCCACGTGGGATATAGCGCGCCCCCTGATCCGCGCTATACGCCACGTAGGGGTATAGCGCTACCCCTGCTCAGCGCTATACCTGGGTATGAATCAGAGTCCGCGTTATACCTTTTATCTGAATAATTATATATAGCGCGGTGCAGTTACCGAGCCTTATATGATTATAAATACCCTTCACTCCTGGTTAAGTTTCTCACATCTCCTCACATCTCTCCTCTCAACTTATAAATTAATACAACAATTCCGTCAACGAGTAATAATTCTGGTAATTTTCTCATATTTGATTTAAAAGTTCGTGTGATTTTTCGTTATAAATTTTGTTATAATTTTTTTAATTATACTTATTGTTTATTATGATTATTTGAAAAAATATTATACTAATTATTTTCAATTAATTTTTGTGTTTGTAAAATTAAAAAGCATGAGCATACATCAAAATAGTTTTGCGGTACAGGTAATAACATAAAATTATATTATTTAAATTATTTACGTTGATCTGTAAAAAAATTATTGTGTTATATTTTCGTTTATATATAATTTATTTAATCAGGTTTGTTTCAGTTATTTTTTTTGCAGATATAATATTGTCACACTTTTAAACTCAAAGAATGGCGTGACTTTCAGCTATTGTTTATTATGAGAGAAAATAACCTCAGTGACAAAAAATGTCTTATAATATACGATTTTAACCAACTTTTTTTGGATTTGCCAAAATGACCAACTAAATCGCAATGCGATTGATAATTCGCAACGCGATCTCCGGTATCACAAATCAGTTTTCAGATTCGCAACGCGAACTTCGACTATCGCATTGCGATTTACATATTCGCATTGCGATAGTCCAAGTTCGCTTTGCGATTTATTCCAAGTTCGTTGCGATAGTCGAAGTTCGCGTTGCGATTTATTCCAAGTTCGTTGCGATAGTCCAAAATTGCAACGACGGTATTACATTTGTTTCTTAAGAATTTTCTCTAAAAAGATAGTATTCACGCGGACGTGTCGAAGACACGTATTACCACGACCACGAGACGAGACGGACGGCGGCGGCGACGGCGCGCGAGAGTCCCCCTTGTTCTCTATCACTCAACAAGGAAGTGGGAAAGCCAAGCCTTAAATACCATTCCCAATAGTGTTTCCAATACTATGTGAGATTTAGTATTACCAACACTTGTTCCCAATACTATGTGGGATTGAGCCTTAAATAGTGATATTATTTTTGAATGTTTTGCTTAAAATTGCAATAATCTTGATTGATTGTAGATTGACTTTTAATTATGACATATTTAATCGTATAATACTAATGCAATTGGTTGCTGATTCAGTTGTTTTAAGGTGCATGATTGTTAATTGTTTCCTGAATAATCACATTGTATTGGAAACAAGTGTTAGTAATGCTCAATCCCACATAGTATTGGAAATACTATTGGGAATGATATTTAAGGCTTGGCTTTCCCACTTCCTTGTTGAGTGATAGAGAACAAGGGGGACTCTCGCGCGCCGCCGCCGCCGCCGTCCGTCTCGGGTCGTGGTCGTGGTCGTGGCGTCCGCGCGAATACTATCCTTTTAGAGAAAATTATTAAGAAACAAATGCAATACTACCAGTCGTTGCGATTTTGGACTATTGTAACGAATTTGGAATAAATCGCAACGCGAACTTCGACTATCGCAATGCGAACTTGGACTATCGCAATGCGAATATGTAAATCGCAATGCGATAGTCGACTATCGCAACGCGAACTTCGACTATCGCAATGTGAACTTGGACTATCGCATTGCGATTTACATATTCGCATTGCGATAATCCAAGTTCGCATTGCGATAGTCGAAGTTCGCATTGCGATAGTCGAAGTTCGCATTGCGATAGTCCAAGTTCGCATTGCGATAGTCGACTATCGCATTGCGATTTACATATTCGCATTGCGATAGTCCAAGTTCGCATTGCGATAGTCGAAGTTCGCGTTGCGAATCTGGAAACTGATTTGCGATACCGGAGATCGCGTTACGAATTATCGATCGCATTACGATTTAGTTGGTCATTTTGGCAAATCCAAAAAAAGTTGGTTAAAATCGTATATTATAAAGCATTTTTGGTCAATGAGGTTATTTTCTCTTATTATGATGATGAAATTCGAGAAAATGAAACCGGCGTTGTTTTTGTATCAAATGAACGTGTTAAAATATCATTCAAGAAAAACATAACTCTTGAGGAGCTGATAACAAAGATTTCGAGGAAGATTCATGTTGGAAGTAATAGAAGAATGTCGTCATTGCAATACAAATTTCCAACATCATTTTGTCATTAACTTATACAGCGTTCGAACTTTCGAACAATGATAATGTTCAAATGATGGTTGAAGCTCAAAGTAATTATTCAGACGCCGCTATTGAGATGTATGTACATTTTGTTCAAGTGTGTGCTGTTCGGGGTCAATCATTAAGCTCCCACCATGGGCTGGCTGAACAGGTTAATCAAGTTGACAGCCCGACTACAATAATTTGTAATGATTTTAATGCCATAATGGGGAGACATTCATCCGTAACTCCTTACGATATGTACCGAGGTAGGTCCACGAATAATCCATCCAAGCGAAGTAGATCGCCTTTCATTATATATCTGCAAAAAAAAATATTAGTAAAATATTAAATAAATTAAAATATTTAAATAAATTAAATACATAATATTAAAAATATTATAAAATATACCTTAAATAGAGAGAGTATTTGAGAGAATTTGAGAGAATATAGTGTGATGAAAGTAATAGAAGATGTGGGTATTTATAGGGAAGATTGGGGGTAATTAAAGGTATAGCACGCCTCATGTACCGCGCTATACCCACGTGTCAGATAAACAATTATAGTGTGGATCAGGGGCCGTGCTATACCCACGTGTAAGTCATGTCAGCGTATAACGCGGTATAGGGGGCGCGCTATCCCCACGTGACGCTAAATCAGCATATAGCACGGGACAGAGAGCGCACTTTGTTGCTACGGATGTTAGATCGAGAAATATAATCTGATCGATGTTAGATCGATAAATATAATAATCATCGGTGATTTTTCGAGAAAAACGTCAATATTTTGGGATGCAAAATAAATAAATAATGCTAAGCGAATTGCATTAAAGGATACTAAAAAGACCTAAATAACCCTCTGAAACTTCTATCTTCGAAGGTCATCAGTGGCAGTGCCTCCATTGCCAATCATTAAAAGAGAAAAAGAAATGCTTAGTCTCCATTATTTGCTGCTTCGAAGCAACCGTTCATCACCATTTGCTCCTTTCTTTCAATGGGTTAAACTTCAACATCAACATCAACATGGCGGGAGTATTTCCAGTGATTTTAATCCCAAGAAGAAAACCGGCTTACCATCATCGTCTTCTTGGATTGCTCGTGCGGTGGAGAAAGATGCAGAGCAGCTTGAAATATACCCAGAAGAGGCTAAGGAAGCCCTAAGAAACCTTGAACAGCAGCTGCAAACCCTCTCTGATAAACAAGTCAGCACTCCTAAGATCAGAGGTAACTGAAATTTCCATTCATTTTTTCTTTAATTCTCTGCCGTTGTTTATGTTTTGGCAACAACTTGTTAATTGAATTCATGGATGCTGTTTGGGTTTTTTATTCTAGAGTAATTTCGTGTTTACCAAATGTTCTGTCCTGCTTAAACAAGTGATTTCTCCCAAAGAAATCAAATGAATAGCTTAATCAGTAGAGTTAAAGCAGCGAGTAAGTAGCATCATCGACTTGGGTTTAGTCCGATTTATTCATTTAATCTTAATTAGCAATGATATTTGTTGTACCTCCTCCGGAATTATTCTTTCGCAAATTACAATCCGTAAACTAAAGTCTCTGGAGCTTGGCAGTCATTATCTTCAAAAATTATAGAAAAGTCCAAGAGATATGTTATGATTAAATTTAGGGTAAATTCTGTATTTAATATCTAAACTATTAGTTTTAATCTATTTTAGTACCTAAACTTTTAATTCTTTTTAAAATCATACCTAAAGTTTAATTTTTATTTATTTTAATATATCGCCACTGAAAATTTTAGTTTAGGTACTAAAACTGATAGTTTATGTATTAAATGCTTTAAGTTTTTAAGTGCGGGTACTAAAACGAAACAAAATTTGATTTTGAAAAAAAAATTAAAAATTTAGATACTAAAACATATCAAAACCGACAGTTTAAATATAAAAATGTATAATTTACTCTTAAATTTATTAATTTACGATTGTATTTATTTATTTATTTTATCTATCTACAGACAACATGATGATGATCATAACATCAGGCATGCACAAGAATAAGTTTATAAACTCTACCATCAAAAGGAATAGACTTCTTCTTCTACCTCTCTCTTTACCTAGAGATATAATATGTCGTTTATTATTTTTAATTGTGTATCCACCGTACACCGATCGATTGTGATTCTTCGTTCAAATTAAAAAAGAACGAACCGTTCTGAAGTTGGAATTTCAACCTCCACGAATCCTTCTCTTATACAGACATGGATGTCACTGATCTTATTTACTAGCCTGTTGACGAAATGTAGTAGTGACATGTTTAGTTTCAACTGATTGCAGCTGCAGATGTAAAACTCACGGTGATGAGATGGAAGAAGAAAGCCCAGAAATTTCAGGGTCTTCCCTAGCATATTTAACTGTTGTTCTCCTTGCCTTCACAATCTTCTACAATGTGTTGTTTTATTCGGTGATAAAGCCGTCCATCGATGGACCAGAGTATGATCCTCAACCTGGCAGCACCAGAGGTGCGGCAGTTTTGCAGTAGTCCTTGCACCATTAACACCACAAGAGTCTTTCCAGAGCTGTATCTGTTAAATAGCACCGGAATTTTAGTAGTATATTAAATAAAACCCCTAAATCCGAATTAGTCGATCGAATATAAGTGGTTGAATAAAAGAAAAAACTTAGAACAATACAATTATTATTGATATTAGGATAAATTACTTACTCAGTACCTAAACTATCAGTTTCGGTCCGTTTTAGTAAATAAACTTTCAATTTTGGTATGTTTTTTAAAATCATACCTAAAGTTTAGTTTTTGTTTCATTTTAGTACCTGCCGTTAAAAACTTTAGTTTTTGTTTCATTTTAGTACCCACTGTTAAAAACTTTAGTTTTTGTTTCATTTTAGTATTTTGTTTATTGTTTGGAAAATCAGGTTCAAAATCATCTCTTCCATCATCCATTGGTTTAGGATCGCCGGATTAACTTATCTTCGCTGTGCTAATGGTGTTTCCATGGACCAACAATACATTATCAAAGCGACATATACACCTCATAAGAAAATTTGAAACAAATAGCTTGTACATAAAGGTTTATAATTTTATATGTTTGCATTGCAGTGTTAGTAAACAGTCAGTTAAATTAACTTTATCAAGTGAAAATTCAATTGATTTAATTTTTTTGTTTTATTTGATTTTAAAGATTTATTCAATTCAATTATCAATTTGTAAAATTCAAACCATATAAATTTTTTTGTTCAATTAATTTGATAAAATAAAACCTTCAAAACACTAAAATGTTCCTAATAAATAGATAGATTATCAAATTATAAATTATAAAGATATAATATATGTAATTAATTTTTGGGTAAACTACATGTTTAGTACCTAAAGTATCACTTTTGTTCTATTTTAGTACCTACTCTTTCAATTTTTTCAAAATCATACTTAACGTTTAATTTTTGTTTCATTTTAGTACCCCATTGCTAACTTTTTGTTTCATTTTAATACCTAAATTTTTAACAAAAATGAAACAAAAAGTGAACTTTAAGTATGAATTTGAAAAAAATTTAAAGTTTAGGTACTAAAATGGAACAAAATTGATAGTTTAGGTACTAAACATATAGTTTACCCTTACTTTTTTTGGTCTTATATGTAATTGAATTTTATAGCATAATGCAATAAAATAACTCTAACGTTTGACAGTAGAGTCAAATTTACCCTGATTGATTTTTTTACACATATAACCACTCAACGTTTCATTTTGGGTCAAAAAACACTCTTGGTGGATGGAAATCGTTAATCAACTGACGGTCAACGCCTGGTGATGACCAAACATGTACACGTGCACGGAGATGTTGATGCGGCTTGCCCAACTCATACATAATGACATGGTATGTCCACGTGTGATGCCACGCCATCAAATATTTTTTTTTAAAAAAATTAATTAATAATTATTTTTTACTAAATTATTAACAACCAATTATATTTTATCACGTGACATATGGAATTTTTTATTAAATTAAAAAAGGCGGGAGTAAACCTCCAAAAGATGCACCCTTGGGCCTAATGGATGAAAGACTCAATGCCTAAGCACTAAACCAACTCATTTGGATGTTATTTTTATGTTAATAACAATATTTAAAGTATATCGTAGCCATCAAAATCACAACACAAACACTTTTTAAACTTTTATTTTAAATTTATTTTTTTATTAAATTTAAATTACATACTCTCTAATTAAATTCATATTTTAAATTTTAATTAATTCTAAATTTATAAACTTTAAACAGAAAATAAAACGGTTTAATATTTTATTTTAATTTTTTAATATTATATTACATACTCTCTAATATTAATTAACATCCATTGATAATGCCACTGGTAAAGCGATGATATAAATTAAGAAAAGGATCTAAACATTTAATTGGCATTTAATTTCTTATTAATTGAATATAATTAACTAGATTTTCATGTGGTGTAATCCTAATCGTATGATTTAATAATAGTAAAAAAATATCATGATTTTAATGACATCAATTAACGGTACCACCAATTTAGATTTACTAATAATACCGTAAATGTAAATGATCAAATCGAATCACATTACAGTATAACGGTTAAATATCTAATGTCAACATAGTAGAAGGACTAAAATCAAAATTAGACCTGGTAGCAAGTCATGGAGGGCATTTAATGTCAGATTGGCTTTGCTGCAATTACTGAGGTATGTAATTTAATAAAAACGATAACTTTAAAATAAAAGATTAAATCGTTTTATTTTCTGATTAAAGTTTATAAATTTAATTAGAGAGTATATAATTTAAATTTAAAATAAAAATTTATAAAATGTTTGTGTTGGGGTTTTGATGACTACAAAATTCTTTAAATATTGCTATTAGCATAATAATAATAATATCCAAGTGAGTTGGTCTAGTGATTATGCATTGAATTTTTCATCTACCAGGCTCAAGGCATATTTTGGAGCCTCTTTCCTAATTTAATAAAAAAAAAAGTCTCATGTATCACATTGGTATGTTCACGTGGACATGTCACATCATCACGATCAGACTAAAAATATTTTTTTATCTAAAATAAAATATTAAGTGTTTAAATGTGTCAAAAAAATAATACATATAAATTTAATATTACTGTCAAATATTATGGTTATTTTATTATATTATGTCAATTTTATAGCAACAAAAATGAAAGTCCCGTGCCAAGCACGTGATATGGCACCACAACAAAAAGTCGAACAAAAGCCACGACTGCGTGCTATGCAGTGCGGTAAGCACCCAGTTTATTTGGATAAAATATGCAATTAGTACTTTTTAGTTTTAGTTTTTTTTAATCCTTAAACTTTTAATTTTTCAAAATCAAACTTAACATTTAATTTTCATTTCATTTTAGTATCTCGTCGTTAAAAATTTAATGCTTTTAGTACATGAACTATCTGTTTTTATATGTTTTAGTACCTAAACTTTTAATTTTTTTTCAAAACTTAAAAAATCAATTTTGAATGGGAGTACTAAAATGAAATAAAAACTAAATTTTTTAATGGTGAGACACTAAAATGAAATAAAAACTAAATTTTAAATATGATTTTAAAAAAATTGAAAATTTAGTTACTAAAATGGATCAAAACTAATAGTTGAGGTAATAACATATAATTCACCCTTTTCTTTGAAAATTCAGTAAGCACACAGTTGGTCGTTGTAGTTGGATATTTTTAATTTTTTAAATTTATTTTTATGCTGATTATCACGCTTCACACAAACAAAATCCTGATCGGCTGCCAATCACTATATTTCCATTCTGCTTCACTGAGCTCATCTCTTCGCCTTTTCCCTTCCTTTGTTTGAAAACAAGGTTGAAACTTGTTTATTTATTTTCCTGAAACAGCGTCAGATCGAAGGGATAGGCTTTGGCTTTTCTCTGAAGCCATGACGACGTCGTTCGGAACTGCGACGAGTGTCGTGACACTGAACGATCCAATGATTCGATTGCAGAGCTTTACGGGGTTGAGATCTTTGCATTCTGTTGCTTTTCCGGGAAATGTTAGCGCCTTTCCGGTTCCCTTCTCCACTCCTTCACTAATTAGAGCTATCTCCACGGTCAGCTTAATTTCGTTTTCTTCTTATTCGTGTGTGTGTTTGAGTGTATAAAGCGAGAGAGAATTGCTAGTATAAAATATTGATCGGTTGAGATTGTTTTAACTTTCTCATTTAACTTTTATAGGAAATGAAGGAAATGGTGCTTGCCAAAGTGTTATTTTTAAGTAAAATGAATATATTTTCCTTTACGCTTCACTAATTTTAGTATTATTTTTTTTAAATGTAAATTTGTCAAATTTGTATTGCATTGTTTCTTTCTGTTTTCAGTCAGTCAAGCCTGACAAGACTACTCCAGAGCCGAAGCGAAGTAAAGTCGAAATATTTAAAGAACAAAGCAATTTCATTAGATACCCTCTTAGTGAGGAGATACTGAGTGATGCCCCCAATATAAACGAGGCAGCAACTCAATTAATTAAGTTCCATGGGAGCTATCAACAGTATGACAGAGATGAACGAGGTACAAGGTCTTATTCCTTCATGCTTCGCACTAGAAACCCCGGTGGGAAAGTCCCAAACCAACTCTACTTGACTATGGATGATCTTGCCGATCAGTTTGGTATCGGAACACTTCGTTTAACTACGAGGCAAACATTTCAACTCCATGGTGTTGTGAAGAAGAACCTCAAGACCGTAATGAGCACAATCATTAAAAACATGGGTTCAACTCTTGGTGCGTGTGGGGATCTCAATAGGAATGTGCTTTCTCCTGCAGCACCTTTAGTGACAAAAGAATACCTGTTTGCGCAGGAAACTGCTGACAACATTGCCGCTCTGTTAACTCCTCAGTCAGGTTTTTACTATGACGTATGGGTGGATGGGGAGAGATTCATGACATCGGAACCTTCAGAGGTTGTCAAAGCCAGGAACGATAATTCCCATGGAACGAATTTCCCCGATTCGCCTGAGCCGATATATGGGACTCAGTTCTTGCCGAGGAAGTTCAAAATTGCTGTGACTGTGCCAACTGATAACTCAGTCGATATTCTCACGAATGATATTGGTGTTGTGGTAATTTCTGATGAAAAAGGGGAGCCTCAGGGGTTCAACGTCTATGTAAGACATCGTGTTACTGACCAAAGAAATCGTCTTACACACTTATATACGTATAAATATCTATTTCTTGTAATTGTCATTGCAGGTTGGTGGCGGCATGGGAAGAACCCATAGGCTAGAGACCACTTTTCCGTGCTTGGGAGTACCACTGGGTTATGTGCCAAAACAGGACATTTTGTACGCTATTAAAGCCATTGTTGCCACACAACGAGATCATGGCAGAAGAGATGACCGGAAATTTAGTAGAACCAAATATTTGATCAGCTCTTGGGGGATTGGAAAGTTTAGGAGTGTTGTCGAGCAATATTATGGAAAGAAATTTGAGCCTTTCCATGAGTTGCCTGAGTGGGAATTTAAGAGTTACTTGGGATGGCATCAGCAGGTTTGTGTTTTAATTTGGATATTTCATACATAAGGAATAAGGTCTTTGGTTTGACTTGTGTTCAAGTACCGACAGTCTTTTAATCTTTTCATATTATACTTGGCTCTGATTGTTTCCATCTAAAGCATGATCTCTTAGTTTAGTCACTTTTCTGATTGGTTATAAAATTTTGGCAGGGTGACGGTGCATTATTTTGCGGGCTCCATATAGATAGTGGTCGTGTTGCAGGGAAAATGAAAAAGGCTCTGAGGGAAGTAATAGAGAAGTATAATTTAAATGTTCGAATCACCCCAAACCAAAACATTATTTTGTGTGACATTCGTAGTGCATGGAGGCGTCCCATTACCACAGTTCTTGCTCAGGCTGGCCTGTTGGTAAGATGTTTTTTACTTGCTATACTTACCTCTATGATTTCTGAGCCTGCACTCTACAATGTCTGCAAAACTTTTAGAGTTGAGCATCTTAATCGCATGGTTAAGAATATTTGCCTGGTCTGTTGTGTTAGGGTGGGTTGGCGACATAACGTTATAATTCAGATTTTAAATAAATTTTATGGCATGTCGGTAGTTAGACAAGACCGATAATATTGAATCACAAGACCTGCATGTCGGTAGTTAGAGAAGACCGATAGTATTGAATCAACAATGCAAGTGTTGGTTTCTCACAGAAAATCCTAATATTTAAACTGTGTATTCAGACCGCATTTAATATATTAGTGGTTGGTAATCCTAATATTTTTGTGAAGCATGGGATTCATCTGGAGATAACTAGGGAGTGATGGCTTTGTTTAAAATCCATGTAGTTTTCACTTTACACTTGATCTTTAGCTGTTTTTCCTTTTTCTTTTTAAATCTTCCTCTGGTTGCGGACTTGCTGTAATGTTATATGGTTAGTTAAGAAGTGTTCCCTTACCCTGTTTATTCTGTTATAATTTGTACTTTGAATTAGATTTCTAGCTGACTGGTTCTAGCTGTGAACAGCAACCTAGATATGTGGACCCCCTGAACTTAACTGCTATGGCTTGTCCAGCTTTCCCACTTTGTCCATTGGCAATAACTGAAGCTGAGCGTGGCATACCCGATATCCTCAAGCGAGTCAGAGCCGTCTTCGAGAAGGTATGTTTACCAAATATACAATCTAGTTAAATTCAGATGACCCTTGTTCATACAACAAGGCTGGCCTATAACGGTTGGCTGAAATTGTGATCCTTTTGATATGTTGTGCATGGTATTCAATTTATCTTCAAATTTATTCTTTACCATTTTTCTTGTTTCAATTTCCGTAGTCTAGTCAACTGTGCGAATTCTCCTCCCTATATTATTTGAACGTGCCTGAAATCTGGTTTGGATCTCCAATAAATAGATAGGCAATGCCTAATTTCAGGTTGGTCTCAAGTACAAGGACTCAGTGGTGATACGGATTACCGGCTGCCCTAATGGTTGTGCTAGACCATACATGGCTGAGCTTGGACTGGTTGGTGATGGTCCCCACAGCTATCAGGTAGTTCAATCATTTGATGTGATGCCTTTCTATCCTAATCAACTAGTATGATAACTTGGTAATCTTGTTTTTTGTTGTTGAAATCAGATTTGGCTTGGAGGAACACCCAATCAAACCCAATTAGCAACCAGTTTTATGGACAAAGTCAAAATTCAGGATCTTGAAAATGTTTTTGAGCCTTTGTTCTACTACTGGAAACGAAAACGACATCTCAAAGAATCATTTGGCGACTTTACAAACCGCACTGTAAGTACTGGGACAAATTATCTTCTACCTGGTCAGTTTTTATTTGCATTTCTTTGAGATATAGAATGCTGGTTTCTCTCAGGGATTTGAAAAACTTCAAGAACTGGTGAACAAATGGGAAGGTCCAGTGCAAGCACCAAGGTATAACCTAAAGCTCTTTGCTGATAAACAGACATATGAAGCCATGGAGGAGCTTGCTAAGCTGCAGAACAAGAGTGCTCATCAGCTGGCGATCGAAGTTATCCGTACTTTCGTTGCTGCCCAGCAGAACGGTAGAAGTGAATAAGTCGTCGGTTTCTCTTCCGGTAACATCCGTCATGGAAAAAATTCGGGTTTTCCAAAACTCATTTAGGCATTCAAGCTTTGATATTGTTCTGTAAATTAGCATGTGTTATTCTTTCCTGTTTTCTTGGTGAGAAAGCTTCGAATTGGTAAGTCCGAGTTTGATATGCAGACGACGTTACTTGTTTGCAATCAGCCCAAACCAAGTCCGCATATGCAATTAACAGACAAATTTAAGTCAGTATTATTTGGCTATAAATTTATTTTATTTATTTAATAATTGTTATAAATAAACGAGACGAAGCAATAATAGGAACAAGAAGAAGATATAAAAGTAAAAGGGGAGTATTGTATTATTATCTTAATATGAGTTGTATACAATGCTTTCTTTGAGCTCTATGTTTATAAGCACAAGGAGTAGATATCATGTAAAACTCTAACTCTAATTGATATTAAAATCATAATAAAGTATATAAAAAACATATCTAATAGATAGAGATAGACATCTACATAAATAAATATTTATAACAATAATATGATATTATAATAGTAACAATGTAAAACCTATTTATTTGTTTTTATTAACAAAAGTGTATATTGTATGAATATTTGTTGTCGATATTGTTCAAGTAAATCATGTATCAAAATTTTAGTCTTAAAATATGGTATAAATACGATGTCTACATGCTGCGTGTGTTGTCAATAGATTAAGAAAGTTTTGAATAGATATTACATTGTAATCACCCCATACTATTAAAAAAAAACTAGTAATATCATTATTTTAGTATCTTTAAGATTGAATTGAAATTCTATATTATTTACAAATAATCATTGTAGAGAGCTACCACATTTTTGTGTACAAACTATTGTCTAAAAAGAAAAATTGTGAGAGAAACTACACGTGGTAATGATATTTTAGTTAATTGCATGAAGTTGTTTATAAAAGAAAGATATGAATGGCAATGGCAATGGGGGGTTAACTAATAAGTAAGCTACGAAACGAGGTAGTTTGTTAAATATAGCAAACGCAAACATTGCAGTTGAAAACGCAACTGTCAGAGAGGAGGAGAGAGATAACGATCTGCAATTCCCCACCCACGAAAGAGACAACAATTAAGGGAAAACCAAAATAAAAATTATGAGCGCCGGAGAAGGGAAAACCGTGTGCGTTACTGGTGCCTCAGGTTACATTGCTTCATGCCTTGTTAAGCACCTTCTCCATCGTGGTTACACCGTCAAAGCCTCTGTTCGTGACCCAAGTTTGTTCTTTTCTTCCCCCCCCCCATTTCTTTTCATGTTATCGTTTCGTGCTTTTCCTTGTTTCGTCATCATTTTTTCATTTTCTTTCTGGGATTTGAATCTCTTCTTATCTTTTTTAATGTTAATTCTTGTATCCTTCTTGTGCTCTGATTGATTACTTTGGTGCGGGTACGTGTCCCGTACATGTTTATTCATTTCTTTAGCGATTTTTCATATATTTGGAAGATCATATGTCATTGTTATGCTCAAGTATGTGCCAGACATAGGTACAGGATATGAATAGTACTTCGAAAGGAAAAAAGTCCGAATAACAGAGGTTTCCTCTAGGTTTAGAGGTGATTGAAAGAAATGTGGGATGCTGGAAAGGGTTACTGGTTGCTTGATGTGAAAGAAAGAAAGAAATGTAGAATGCCATAAAGGGGTATGGTTTCTTGATGAGAAAGAAATAAATGTGGAATGCCGGAGAGTGTAGCTCCGTCACTGATTATACAGGAGACAACTTTTTTGTTTCTGGCATTTCATTGTTTATGTGGTAGATTCATAATCACGGGATAACCTTCCTTGTTTTCTTTTGCATTTCTCTTGTTTGTTCTTATAAGAGTTGCCTAGACGTTTCCTAAACCAGTTCCAATCATTTTAATTAGTTATTATTCCTCGATAGGTGATCCGAGAAAAACACAACACTTACTTGCACTCGAGGGCGCCGAGGAAAGGCTGAAATTGTTTAAAGCAGACTTATTGGAAGAAGGTTCCTATGATTATGCAGTTGAAGGCTGCGAAGGTGTTTTTCACACAGCATCTCCCTTTTATCATGATGTCACAGATCCACAGGTTGATGTTCAATCCTTTTTGTATCCACTGTATACACTGTGTTGTTTTTATATCTGTCCTCGATTAATAAGCTTTTAACTCTTCATTGCTCATCTCAGGCAGAATTACTCGATCCTGCTGTGAAGGGAACACTGAATGTTCTGAACTCATGTGCTAATACCTCTTCTGTCAAACGAGTGATCTTGACATCTTCTGTAGCTGCAGTCACATACACTGGGAAACCTCGAACTCCAGATGTTGTGGTTGACGAAAGTTGGTTTACCGATCCTGAGTACTGTAAAAGCTTAAAGGTAACTATATGTGCTATGCATCCGATAGTATATCGAGATTCGTGTTGTGCTTTATATGAACTTGGCCTGTTATACTGAAATTAGTATGGAAAAAGAAACCAAAAAAATAAAGGATTTGTATATGGAGATGCATTCAAATGAAAGTATCTTAGATGCAAATTGTTCATTTCTGTGCTAGTTACTGAAAAACAAAGATAAATCATGTGAAATATAACAACATTCACTGAATCTAACTTTTTTTTTCTTATTATTTTTTCAATGCTTGAAGATAGGCCCAGCTTGTATCAAATGTGAGTTTAAGCTAGTTGATAAACTAGCTTACCATTCTTTCAAATTGCAGAATAGGTTCCAATTTCATAATTTCTATAGGTTTCCAGTCTCGATATAAATAATTTAGCCATCAATTGTTGTCGACATACGGATGCATTCCTCCGATTTTTCTTTCTGGTATCATTTATAAGCGGATTCGAGCATCTGGAGATTAGGATTTAAACTATTAACAGCAGGCATATCCTCTAATTGACTTGTAGACTGGATAGATAGTAGGTGAAAACTTTGAGTCTCTTTGACTTGTAATTGGCTACTTCTATAATAGTTGTTGTTTCTGCTATCTCCAGTATTCCATATTTTAGGGTGTGGCTTGGAGATGGTGCTGTAACAAGTTGCCTAATATTTTATCATGTCATACTGTTTTCTTTCTTTATGATAAGATGGTATTATTTCTGAATTGTCATCTTTTTAATTCAGCTCTGGTATGTAGTCTCCAAAACCATAGCTGAGGAATCTGCCTGGACATTTGCAAAAGAGAAGGGCCTCGACTTGGTTGTCATAAACCCGGCAATGGTGATCGGTCCTCTTTTACAGCCAACACTTAACACAAGTGCTGCAGCAGTTTTAAGCTTAATTAAGGGTAATTTTTTCCTGGCTACTGTTTGCCTTCAAACCCTGAACATGCCATTTGCTTTATAGTTGATGATCGATATCCATTACACTAGTGATCGACACACACACACTTTCTTTAGTGATCTTCTGAAATAATACCCTTCCAATATATTGCTTCCCTGGTTTAAAAAAACCAATATTAAGGCCCTCTTATCAACTCCTCATGCGTGAAATTTGCGTATACGTAGCGTAATAGTATCCCTGATAAAAATTGCAAGAATTTGCATGCTGGAACTCCAGTTATTATGACCTTGTTAACTTCAAATACTTCGAAAAAACTCTAACTTGTTGACATAGTTGCCACTCTTGAGTTGCATGCATGCCTTTTGAGAAGAATGTGGACAATGCATCAGTTTTAGGGATTTCTTTTGTTTAAGTTTACACCTGCTGAGGCTATCCATCTCTATCCATCTCTTCTCGATCCTCTGTTCTTTCTGCAGGAGCGCACACATTCCCGAATGCAACTTTCGGTTGGGTTAATGTAAAAGACGTTGCGGATGCACACATCCAGGCATTTGAGATTCCATCAGCTAGTGGAAGATATTGTTTAGTCGAGAGAGTTGCACATTGCTCGGAAGTTGTAAAGATCTTAAGTGAGCTATATCCTTCTTTCCATCTCCCAGAAAAGTAAGTTTTAAACTTCTGAATTTTAAAGCATACTACATAACAACCTCTGAGCCACGTGCTTCTCTTTCTCTCTTTATACCGAGCACTTCCCTTCATTTTTAAGTCAAAAACTCGCGATTTTTTTTCTGAGTCCACCTTTCTATATGCTTCTGCATCCTTTACTTTCATTGCTTCCATGTTTATGATATAGCTTTAGACATTTCATTCAGAACTATTATGATCTTATCCAGTACTTTAAATAACCAAATCCAGACTTATGGAGAAAATATATTGTAGGATATCGTTGAATGCTCGTCGTTTCGGTTATATGTACTATATACTGAAGCAGTGAGCGGTTTTGATAAATTGGTGGCAGATGTGCAGATGACAAGCCTTATGTGCCAACGTATCAGGTGTCAAAGGAAAAGGCATTGAGTTTGGGTTTAGAATTCACTCCCTTGGAGGTGAGTCTCAAGGAAACAGTTGAAAGCTTGAGGGAAAAGGGATTTGTCAGCTTTGATTCTTAGTAGCTCTCTGTGCAGCCCCCTTCTTGACAAATAAGGGGTGAATAAGTTTTTTGATGGCTTTCTCCTCCATCTTCTTCTTCTCTTCAAATTTCTTGAGATATTGACCCTTTTGCAGTTGGCTTCTGGTTATAATTGTTTCAGATGATTTAGTAGGGAAAAGGGTGATTTAATAGTGAAAACTACGTTTTGGACTTGACTTCTAATTTTAATTCAAGCTGTGCTCAGTTTGTTATGAATTTATGAAATAATCACTCCCATGGCCTTTTTGTTCTCCATAAGGTTGAGAAAAACTTGTTCATGAAATTCAAGTCGAGTCAATTTTTCGAATAGAATTGAGTTTTGCTCACACTTATCCATCCATACATATATATATATAGGAAAACAAGCGAAAAAGTAAATATGAAAAATCCACACGCACTCTGTATATTTTCCCCAGTTTCTTTTTCCTGTATAAGCAGATAAAGCTACTCACAAACAAACATCAGATATTCAACACAATAATAATCAACAATCACATGTAACATATAGCAGTGGCATATTATCAATGCCTTTGGTTTTGAAAAAAGAAAGAAAGAATTTAGTGTAATGGAGAGTTAAGACCCCCCTCAGAAGAAAGAGAATCGAGAGGCTGGTGGCGTTTGGAAGAAGACAAGGATGGTATCTTCCTGAAGGAGGGCCTTTTATCAAGATGCTCAATTGTTCTCTTGGCATAAATTTCTTGAAAAAATGGCGAAGCCTTTTCTTTTGTCTTCAGAATCATGAAGAAGACAAGGCGGTCGCATACGAGTATGACCACCACTGCAGTTAAATCCCATCACTTGGACCGATCTATCGTCACCCCAAAGTAATGCGTGACGATTTGATCTCCGGTTAGTTTCTGATCACCCGGTAGTAGCGGATCAAATTCGAGGCCGATGAAATCATTCTTGTAGGCACCCTATATCATCGCATAGTTAGTGATTGTGATGAGCAAATATTTTAGTTTAGCTTTAATAGATGGATCATACCTGAAGCGCCGATGAACTGAAACTGATGTATTCAATGTGGTAACGCCAGAATATCTTAAGAAGATCAGGCAGCAATCTGAAGAAGCCCGATGTCATCATTAGAATCTCCTGAAAAGTGAAGACCTTGGGAGTTAAAATCACTGTTGGAAAACCTGAAAAGATGATTAAGTAACCCGGTTTCGTTTACTTACGATAATTCCGGCCCCGGAGTTGATTCCCATTAGGTAATTGGGAACCAATGAAGCTACCACCACCATGAGGCTCTCAATCACAGTGATGCTGAAGAAGATATTGAGGCAAAAGAACACGTAATGCGAAAATCCGGATCGAAACTTCACCAGGTAAAATGTTATTGTTCAAGTGATGAGTGCAATAGCAACCAGAAATGGGAATGAGGAGAAGAAATTGGAGAGTGTATAAGCTGCAACTCCATAATATCTATTCACCCTTTCTTTATTAAAAACCTGTTACAACAAACAAAGTATTACATGACAACAGCAACCTTCTTTAACTTGACTGAATCAAAAAGACTTTCATTTTACCTTCATTTCTTCGATGACGGAAGGAAAGCCTCCGCTCGACATGAAGGTCATAAAACCTGTGATGAATGCGCAACAGGCTACACGGGCAAGAATTGCGGTATTTCCGTATCCGACATCGTAGAAGATGGTTCCGACACAGATGGATACAAGTATATATATCCCAATCCTTGCCCAGTAATACCCTGCATCTCTACACATGTTGAGAAATGATCGTTTTGTCAATGTTGTAAGTTGCCTCAACCATGTTGCTTGACTTCCACTGATTGCTTCTACCTCAATTCCTTCCTGAAATCACATCAACTTTCTTTCAGGCACTGTTTTGTATTTTAGACTTTTAGACATCAAATAAATAAGTAATAATTTTGATTACTTACAATTTTAGATATTTCTTGAATCCTAGCTTTTGCCCTTTTTGCGTACTTCTAGTGCCGGTACTTTTCGACGAGGGTGGCCATGATTTGTGCTGTTGCCATGCTCGTGAAATTATTTATTTCACTAAAATAGTGACCCTTTTTGCCCTTTTTGCGTACTTCTAGTGCCGGTACTTTTTGTATCTATATTTGTTCGAGTTTCTTGATTAGATTTAATTTTTCCTTGTATGATCTTTATGTGATCTTAAGTTGTTAGTTTTGTTTTAATGATTATATGAAATTTTCCTAATTATGTGTTTAATTTACGATTATGATCGTAAATCTTTATTGTAATTTATGATATTTTTTATTTTAAATAATGCTGATAATAAATATGAACAAATTTACTTTGACATTTCGTATAGGCTAATAATTTATTAACCCAGAAAAATAAAATACCTAAGCCCGGTCGTGGTGAAAAGATTGCCTTGGCTGATAAGAAATTAGCTGAAAATAAGATTATACTTGGGCTGCTTATCAGGAGAGAAGAGGCCGAAATGGAGCTCAGTTTCAGCCGGACCCTTGAGGTCTTCATCAAACATCGCGAAAAGATAAGTTTCGATGGCTTGCCCAGGCTTCTTGGGAGTTCCATTACCGACATGATCGATCACATTCTGGTAATAAATCCCTGCATTCTCCACCGTCCCCGATTCTACTCCGGCAGACGGCCAACCAGTCTCCGACACAACAATCCCCACATTGGCACCCCCAGCATTTTCCAAAGCAGAATAAAAGGAATCCAAAATGGCATCGAACATGTTTTGGTAGTTCAAAGCGCCGTCTTGAATCACAGTTCCCGGAGCAGTAAACAAGGCATAGTCGAGACGTACGTTCTGGGGATCGCCAATATAGCCATAATAAGGGTAGACATTGGCAAGAAGAGGCGCACCGGTGGTTGCTAAGAACATGACAACGGGTGTCATGTAAGGGCTTGCAACTGGACTGAAGGAGCCTGCTGACGGAGGGTAAGACGGGCCCAACAGACTAGCTTCCACCGATGTGGAAACCTTGATTTCATCGCCTAATCCTGCTGATACCAAAGCACTGTAAATGTTTTGCATTGCGGGCAGAACATATTGAGCTTCGAGGTCGTTTGGTCGTATTTCGTTCCCGACTGCTATGTACAGAATTTTGACTGCTGGAAAGAAGGCTAATACGTTGTTTTGGACCCAAGCGTTTGCATTCGAGGGAGTGGCGAGTGACTGAAGGTCTCCATTGGGAACACCGAGGATTAGTTCAACGTTTGCTCCTACAAGAGCCTGGAGAGTTGCTTGATCTGGATCGTACAGTCTCATTTTCCCGATGCCATTCGACGTGTAGAAATTCACAACGTCGATAGCAGAGGGCAGATTATCGGCAATTCTTCCATTGCATACGCCAATCGGTTTTGTTGCTCCTAAATCACATACAAATATAAACAATTTACTTCTTAAAGCTCGCTGCAACAAATGTAAACAAAAAAAAAACAGATGAGGATGGAGAGAAGTCGAACCTGTTATCGTAAAGCTGGCAATAAAAATTCCCAGGATTAAACATGTTGCGACCATGCTAGTTCTGTTGACACTTTGGAAATCCATGGAGGTCAAGTATTTTTCCTATGGAGCTCACAATAACACTTGGAATATACATATACAACATATTGATTCTCTTTCTATGTATAGAGATTGTGAAAGTGAGAATTTACCATTATTTTCAGGCAATTGTGAATGGGAAGTAATTACTATTAAGATACGTGTGTTATGATCATTGCATATTTGCTATCTCTCGACTGCTATGGAAATTGAAAGTACGTTATGAACTCAGTTCTGCAAATCAAGGAAGTTAATAAAGGTCGTCAAGGCAATCAGACATTATAAAAAAGTAAAGTGTGAATCACATTATATTATGGTGGATATTTTCTAGATAATTAGTGTTAACTTTATAATTGAAAATTTTATCAACAAAGTCGATTCAAATGGTAAGCAGCTTGATATTTTTTAAGCAATGTCTCAGGTTCGAGTTATTGTGTATGCAGAAAATACTCACCACCAATATCAGGTGTGCAACCCGGGTAAGTCCAGATTAGTCAATGCGAAGCCTTAGAAATGGAGGGAACAAAAAAATTTATAACTGAAAATTTTATTTTTCAACATAATTATTTTTAATTTGATAAATTATATTTATAATCACTTAATTATAGAAAAAATTTATTTTGACCATCGATCTTTCAATTTTGACCCGAAATTTTTTTTAATCCTTCAATAAGATGTTTATATATATCATAATTTGATGAGAAAATCGATCTTATTTACTTAAACTAAAATTATGATTAAATTAATAAAATTTATTACTAACAAAGATTAAATGTATAATTATATCAAAATTTTTAACTGCCACATCATCTTATATATTAAATTACATGAGTTATTGTATTATGGATAAATTTATAGTTAAATTATTTTATTTCAAAAGCTACAATTGCATCATTGTATTTTTTAATTGTAAATTATTATCGTTAATTTTATAATTAATATTAATTTGTTTGTTATATTTGATGTACTAATCATTATAATTAATAAATAAAGTGACATGATTATTATAGTAGATAAATGTAATAATGGATAAATAAAATATTATATTGTCTAAAATTGTACGATCTCTGTCTTTAGATATGTCATTCATCTCACCAATGGTAGACTTATCACTGTTCAATTCGCAAAATGGAGTTCTAGATCTTCCAGAAGCCTAAAATTTAAAATTGATTTTATTTTTTAATTAATTGAGTGATTTATTAATAACTTTTTTAAAATTAGATAAACTACTCATAATTTTACTAAAAATTGAGGGACTCAATTATAATATTATTAATTACATCTTCTTGTTCAATTAACTGACCATATTCTCATATATAATGGGGTGAGAGGAGGTAAGGTAATAGATTACCCTCAACGGGTTGAGAGCAAATAAACGATACAAACATAAATTATTCAACAATATTTTTGAATTAAAAAAATGATTACCATTTTTATAATCTTACATTTTATTAAAAAAACTCTAATTGT